ATAATGTTTTATAGGATTGTTAATTTGCAAATCCTATTTTATGAGATTTATTTAATTTTTATCACAAAACCAGAACTATCATCCAGGAATTGGAATGTGACCATTAAACTGAGTTCTAGCAGAAGGAATCACTACTATAATATCCTGTGCATTTTATCTTTAGACTTCTTTGGGCAAAGGACAATTTTTTTCTTTCTGTTAATTAATTATTTATAATATTGATCGACATTAAGGAGATTAATTTTTTGATTTTTACTATTGTATGTGAACTAATCTGTAACATGAATTTCAATTACCCTAAATGGAGAAATTCTGCTGTATTTAGAAGTTTGCTTGCCTTCCTGTATTCTTTCTTGACATCATTTCCCCTCAACTTTTTAGGAAAGTTTCAAACATTCAGAAAAGTCAGAAGAATAGTACAGTGAACACTTTATATCTCTACTTAGATCTGATAATTGTTAACATTTTGCCACAGCTGCTTTATTCTTTCTCTCTCTCTCTCTCTCTCTGTCTCCGTCTCTCTCTCTCTCTCGTGTGTGTGTGAGTGAAATTTTTTCTTAATCTTTTCAAAGTAAGTTACACATATCATGGCATATTACCCTTACATACTTTAGCAAGTATTTCCTAAGAATAAGGAAATTCTTTCACGTAATGTTGATATTGTTATCATACCTAAGAAAATGATAAGTAATTTCATAATATCCGTTATCCAGTTCATATTTAAACTTATCTAGTTATCTGTTTTATAGCTACTTTTCTACTTTATCTCTCCATCCCTGTCCTGAATCTAGGATTCAGTAAAGGTTCGTACATTGGCATATTTGGTTTTTAAATTAGTGATTTAATTTTAGATAAGTCTGTGCTGTTAGTTGTTTACATTTACCATTAAATTCAATTAAAGTTTTTATAAATCTTGCTAAAATTACATTGACTTGTTGCACCTTTTCTGTGTTAATATAGATTAGTCATCATAAGCATGTATCATATTTTTAAAGAAATTAAAAATTTATATTGAAATTTTTTTTTGTTTCCACAGATATTCCAAATGTCTTGGTTGGCACTGCATTTAATGTTGATGATGCAAATGGTGGCTTTGTAGTTCATTGGTTAAACAACAAGGAATTTCATTTTACATCATCTACTGAAATATTTATGCATCAATTACGAAAACTTTCTGAAAAAGAGGTAGATCATGAAAGCGATGATGCAGATAGAGAAGATGAGGAACATTCACAGGAGGAAAAAGAGAGGGGTTTACATATGAAATTAGACCATGGTTTGTATCTTGTGTTCAGATTTTTCTTTCTGTAAAACTAACAACTTTCTGTGGTACCACTTTTAGTTTGGAATTCTTCCTTCCAGCTCTTCCTCCTTTTTACATTTCTGTTCATTCCACAAGTATTTAGCGACCATCTGCCATGGACCAGGCACTGTGCTAGCTTCTGCAAACATCATCTAACTCTATATGTTTTGTCATAACATATTATTAATACTTTGAGTAACACATTACTTTGGAAACCATATCCTTTTTTGGGGAGTAGATTTTGCTAATGGTGATAATAATGATAGTGTGAATGAAGTTTTGATTTATCTACAAGTAAGAAATATAATAATTTTCAATTCAGACAAAATGGTTTTCTTCTTTGTTTTTTTCCCTGACCATACATTGGAAAAGGGATTTATAGTTTCTAAAGATAGCATACCATTTATTGATAGTATGTAAATGAATTTTATAATATTATTTAATGTGTGTACTGATAAATATATTTTCTGGTTCAGATTTATCCTTGGATAGAGAATCTGAGGCAGGTACAGGATCATCAGAACATGAAGATGGAGAAAGAGAAGGAAGTCCTAGAAGCTATTCACGACCCAGTGTACCAATGCCACTGCCTACGGTTCTGCTTGATCGGAAGATCGAAATGCTACTAACTGAATGGAATAAGAATCCCGACATGCTTTTTACAATACACCCTGTAGATGGTACCTTTCTAGTGTGGCATGTAAAGTATTTGGATGAATATAATACTGGAATATTTAGACAAGTCCAGGTATATTTTATTGATGAAGCAATTACTATATTTTTTGAAATAGTAAAAAGAAATATGTGCTATGTAGATTTAGCAGGTTTTTAGAATTACTAAAAAATTTTGTTTTGATAAGCAATTGAGAAAA